TCCCGCTGAGGGTGTTGATAAGCCCAATGCGAGGTCGAAACTGCAGTCCACCCTGGATGAGAACAACGTTTGGGAAAGCAAGGCTATGTGAAATTCAATGGAAACGTCAGCTCAACTCATATCATTGTGGGAAAATTCGACTACCAGTCCTTCATCACCTTAGACGAAATAGGGTGAATACATCTCATTATGTGAAATTCAATGGAAATAATACCAGTCCTTCATCACCTTACACGAAATAGGGTGAATACATCTCATTACACTGATTTACTGGTAGCCTCACTTCCAGTCCTTCATCACCTTACACGAAATAGGGTGAATACATCTCATTACACTGATTTACTGGTAGTCTCGATTCCTTCATCACCTTAGACGAAATAGGGTGAATACATCTCATTACACTGATTTACTGGTAGTCTCGAAACCCTTACTCTCATCTTACACGAAATAGGGTGAATACATCTCATTACACTGATTTACTGGTAGTCTCGAAACCCTACTCAAATACGAGTTTTTAATAATAGCCTGAGTTCTCTTACCTCCATTTTAATTGACCTATTGGAGCATGTTTTCCAATCTCGCCTAATGGGGAATCTACCACTTACATGTCTATATTTGCAGCCAGGCTAAAATGAAACTCACTTATTTTCTCATTATTACCTCCATATTTTGCTCATAATGTTGTACTTAAGTCTTATTGAAGGACTTGCCTACCTGTGTACACTGAAGTCTCCTAGCACCAAAGTCGTCTCTACTCCGTTTCTTAATCCTGCATCGCGACGTATCAGCCCATGAAACTGGTGCGCCATGGCCATGCGAAAGGAGCTACTCATTAGACTGTAGACAATTGGGTTGATGCAAGAGGCGGCAAACGACAACGTTTGTGAGATAAATTTGGCCTGCTTCATCGCATGGTTCATCGGAAAGCCATGGCGATCTATGTTGAACCAGGCGTTTATAAATTGAGTCGGCAGCCAACAAAAGCCATAGAGTGAAGTGACGACAATCACCTGCTTGGTGACTCGTGCTCGAAGCTTGCGTTTCTTCTCCAATTTGGCATCTGCTCGCAACTGACTGCCAACGAACGGAGCACCAACTTGGCTGCTGAAGATATCTTTGGCTGTGGTTGTGACGGCGGCAGAGGTGATGAAGTCACCTTCATCAGGTCCCTCAATGGCACGGTGTCGTGGTGACGCTCTTTCCGTTGCTCCTGTCCCGAGACTGGTCACAGCACTGCCGTTGGTATCCGAGTTTTCATGACAGGTGTCGCATGGCTGAGCTTTGTTGAAAGGTGATGCCGTTGCCAGTCTTGCCTTCTCGCCATGCAGTTCGCTGAGCAAGGATGTGGTGAACCGTAGAGCTGACTTTATTTGTGGACGATTCTTGCAGGCCACTTTCTCGTTAATAGTCTGAACAAAATTTGAAGTTTGGGGCGATATATTTGTCAATCAATTCGCATCACTTTTGGTGTTTGGATGTGGTGTCGACAAGTAATATTTACCAAAATAGCTGCTTGATCTTAAAGGTTTTTTACTATTTTGAGACTTACAGATCCTCCAACTTTTGGCATAACATCCACCTTTTCTCTATGCCTGCCTAAAATATCTAGTTTATGCGAGAACAAAGCTATAACGAATTAGATCTAATCAAATCCAATCAAAATTGTATGCAAGCAGTTAGAGTTGGTAGACCTCGTTTTGATGACATTAGCCGGAACCCCTTAAAACCTTTAACATAACTACGTGCATTACCAGAATATGATTGAATAACTGATAACCCTCGTTTTTTCATCCTTTCTTTACATTATATAAAGAGACGGGAATATGTGCATTGTTTACTCATTAGTTATGAGGTCTACAGCTGCCGAAATAAATAAAAAAAATTCACTGGATACCATGAAAATGGTTTTTCTTAAATTCGTTGTCTAATTGGTTTCTCTAGGCATACCATGCAGCATTGGTGCGCTTTCACTACTTTATCAGCTTAAGCGAAATAGGATGGATACATCTCAGACAATTCTTGTCTGGAAGTATAAGTTCAGATAAATTTATTAAACTCCAAACGGTGACGGAAAGGCAGTATGATAGAGCTTTTTAGCAGATAAGCAATATACATGATAATCAACTTAAGGATTTGGGTATAACAAATAATTCAAAGATAAATAAATAAATTACATCTAAAGAAAGCAAAGGTCAATGTAGATTAGGATACAAAGTGACAAGCTTGTCCAAAAACATCAATGGACGTTTCCGCTGAAGCGATCCTGTCCAAGGGTTTAAACATCACATTTCCGAGTATCAAAAAATTCCTTCAAGAATTATTGGTAGAATTTATAACTTTAACTCATGGGTTCCCAGTAGAGACCAAGAGACATGTGGAGTTACAAGTTGTTGTTTTGAGGAGGTACCGTAAAATAATAGGAAAGTTGATAAATTAATAAAAGATATTAATTAAAATGATCATATAATTTTGAGAGCAGACTTATGTAGGAATAAAGAAAATTGTGTGTAAAAGATGTTGCAAGTCTTCGATTATTGTTAATCATACAAGGTTATAATTAACGATTTAAAAGAGACTCTCAAGGCTAGAAATGAGTATTGCTTGCAAAAATATGTGAAGAACGGAGGACTAAAGAAGCGGAAAATGAAGGTACTTTTTTAATAAGATGCTATGCCACCAAATTCTTATGGTCGGCCCAACATCTATATGGAAGCTGCCCTTTTTAGGATTATTGTAAATGATAAATGTTGAGTGATGCCTAAAACAACAATATTTGTTTGTATCTATATTTAGAAATTTTCTGACATGTAATTTTTCAATAGGGAATAATTAGGGCATATTAAACAATCAAAGAAGAAATTTATGTATGAGATTGAATTTGGCCCCAGCATAAGTTTTAAAGTACCTGGATAAAGTAATGGTTCATTTACTTCAAAAAGCCTTTTTAGTTGCTAAGTTATTAATCAGTTATATGGACTTTGCTTTTTGGAAACCAATCAATGAAGCTGAGAACAATTCTTCACGTTAATAATTAGACTAGGAAGGACAACTGACTTTACTCTGGAGTTGACGAATGCTAATAGACTAGCCTTTATGTATGTTCAAGTGGATGCAAGCGGAACTAATTTGGGTAATGTGCTTAGGAAACATACGCATGCAGGTTGGCTAACCTATTTCTGTTAACTCCTATGCTTGGGGTCAAATTAGTTGATATGGCACCGACGC